TGTACTCTACAGTGTGGGGGATCAGTGTGGCAGTGTGTGTCAGTGCAGACTGTACTCTACAGTGTGGGCGATCAGTGTCACAGTGCTTACGGTACCTGATGATCTCAGCATACTCCTTGTCCTTGCCCTTGCTGTCCCTCCACTTACGGAACATGACAGAGGCATCTACATTGGCTGGGGAGAAGGTGTTGGGCTCGTTCAGCAGGGAGATCACACTCAGCAGGATGGTCCTATACAGAAGTAAACATCAGCATGAAACACAAGGGCTCACACATTTGTAGTCCTGTTTTTGTGCCTCATTCCATTTCTACTCACTATTTGAAATGTAATATTATATAACCAGTCATTCAAATTCAAAAGTCATTAACACTATAAAGAGGTTACTTCCTTCCTGCATTACATTATTACCTAAGGTTGAGTAACTACCGTTGTAGCAACATTTACTCAAAGGTTTTACAAACCCCATCCAACCGTCACATACAATGTCAAGACCACCCCCAGAGCAATGCAGAAATCACCACAAACTCACAATAAAACACGAGCTCAGCTACCCATGCACAACACACCATGTCAGTATAACAGTATGCGGAGAGGATTTGGATAGCTGCCAGTTCTTATCTATGTAATTGTTGTGACTTGGGGGCATATGAATTTCAGCTGAGGTTAGCATTGTTGCAGTTCCAGATTGATTACCTTATTCGCAGGGTTTGGAACATGGGTTTCATTTGGCAGTATTTACGTAGTTATCCTTGGGCTGGGAGACAAGTGAACATGGAGGAAGATTCTGACGTTGAATAGGAGTCCTTATAGTTGACATAACTGCAAATCATTAAGACAGCCTTTTTAAAGAATAAACATTCTAATTAGGTCATTAACAATTGTGGTCCTCCACAGGCACGGACCATAGCACAAATACAAGGAGAAGAGGAATAGAGAGAACAGGCATCAGCCTCCTCTTCCTCTCCACCAAAGCTATAGCATGAGATAGAGCTCCTCTTTCCAATCAAACTTGATTCCAGATTCAGTCAAGGTCATCTCAACGGTAAAAAGAATACAGAACATTGAGCTTAATTATAGACAAGAGCTTGCTGTATTATTTACTTTGACATTCCGATATCCGGTATTGTGGAATCCCTAGGATAAATCTCTCTCCTATTTTAGTGGTGTCGAGGTCGGACGGGGAAAGTGGGAGCGTCCATGTTTTAGAGGGGAAGATTTAGTCCTGGTTAGGCAAGTTCTTTCTGTCTGGCCCGTGAGGGTGTTTGTGGCGTTCAGTTTACAAGAGTAGAATTCTTGATTTTCTTTACCTACAGAAGGCAAGAACCTGAAACTGACCGATTGTATATATCTGTCTACAGTCTAACCATTGTGTGAGGTGTACAGTTGTGTTGTCTTGTCTAGCTTTGGCTTTTTAGCTGTGCCAGAGACTAAAAACACACGTGCCACACAGAGTTTTTTAACCTCTGACTTGACAGGGTGAAATTATTAATCTTCAATATGACCTTTTATAGCAAGTTGGTGTTAGAACCCGAACACCTCTGCTGAGTCCTCTTTCAGGGGTTTCATACTAGAATCTCCAGGACGTCAGTGTCTTCTCTGCATGTTAAACTCAGAAGTCAATTAAACAACCTAATTATGGTCTTATTTAGACACCTTTTTCATAAGGTCAACTGCTACTGTACCTACATTGATAGTGCAGGTGAGACAGATTTCAATTGGCCAGTTAAAATAAGTTTGGAATAGAGAGCTTGGGTGCAACAATAGCCAGTAGACCCAGCTCTCCAGAAATTGTTTTAAAGCTTTTGATTCAATGGGAAACATAAAGTACTTCTTTTTGTAGGTTGTAGCTCTCAAAGAGAGCCCTCTGGCAGCTGCCTGATGAACGTGCAGAGAGCCTCTCTTTCTCGTGCCTCTCGTCAGTCAATGAATCCAGCCCAGGCAATAAACTACACAGGTGTGGACAGCAGGTCCACCGCCTTCTAACCTGATCTCATCAGAACGCAGAAATCAAACATGGTACTAAGAGCAGTGATGGGACAAGAGACCTCCAAGGGAAACCAGGTTTCTGCGGT